TTAATACTAATAGTACAAAATGGCTTTCATATTTCACAATGTATTTAGGGTAAGTAATTGTGGAAGTTTACTGTATTCATCAAGTTAACTAAAAATTCAGGGCTTTTTTTTCATGAGGATCAGAGGTTAATGCTAAATTCACACCCTAAACAAGATTATTTCTCCAACTCCAAAGAAAATAAATAAAAGAGGAGAAAAAGAGAAAAGTAAACAGCAGTAATTTAAACCTGTAGCATTTATTTTTTAATTTTTATTCATTTTTTTTTGAGATAGAGTCTCAAGCTGTCACTTTGGGTTGAGTGCCATGGCATCACAGCTCACAGCAGCCTCCAACTCTTGGGCTTAGGCGATTCTCTTGCCTCAGCCTCCCAAGTAGCTGGGACTATAGGTGCCCACCACAACACCGGCTATTTTTTGGTTGTAGTTGTTGTTTGGTGGGCCCAGGCTGAATTTGAACCCACCAGCTCCTGTGTATGTTGTTGGCGCCCTAGCTGCTTGAGCTATAGGCACTAAGTCACCTCTAGCATTTATATATCTAGTAGAACTTTTGGATTTCCTGAGCCACTTGCCTTAAAAAAGAAACGTTTGAGTATGAAATATGTCCTGTGTAAAGTCTAGTTTATCAAATGATGTGCCTAGTAGCAGAGAATCAAAAGCTTTATTTAAGCTTTCAGATACTTACCTAGTCTCATTCTCTGTTCAAATTTTTCAATGACTGCTGAAATTGCAATAGTGACTGCACAGTTCCCTATGTCATTGTATTGGTGGCATCCATTTCTAGTTGTGCTTTTCTGGTTGGTTGTTTTGTTTTTGAGACAAAGTCTGACTCTATCACCCTGGTATTCTAGAGTGCTATGGCATCATAGCTCACAGCAACCTCAAACTCTTGCGCTCAAGATATACTCTTGCCTCAGCCTCCCAAGTAGCTGGGACTACAGGTACCCTCCAAAAGACCTGGCTATTTTTAGTAGAGACAGGGTCTCACTCTCACTCAAGTTAGTCTTAAAACTTGTGAGCTTGGCTCGGCACCTGTGGCTCAAGTGGCTAAAGTGCCAGCCACATACAGCTAAGGTGGCAGGTTCAAATCCAGCCCAGCCCGCCAAACAATGATGGCTGCAACTGAAAAAAAATAGCCAGGCGTTGTGGAAGGTGCGTGTGGTCCCAGCTAATTGTGAGGTGGAGGCAGGAAACTTGCTTGAGCCCAGGAGTTGGAGGTTGCTGTGAGCTGTGATGCCATGGCACTCTACCCAGGGGGACA